CCCCTCCCCCACTATACCCCCCTCCCGCCCCCCAAACCTCCCTCCCCACGAGCCCTCGCACCCTGGTCCCCCACCACACCCCCTTCCGCCCCCCACCACTCCCTTCCCAGAGTCTGCACCCAGTCCCCCACATCCCCCTCCTGCCCCCAAACTCCCTCTCAGAGCCTGCACCCAGTCCCCACACACCCCCAGCCCCCAAACTCCCCCCCAGACCCTGCACCCCCTTCCCCTTCCCACACATCCTCTCCCAGCCCCAAACTTCCTCCCAGAGCCTGTGCCCCATCCCCACGCTCCCCAGCCCCCAAACTCCATCCCAGAGCCTGCACCAGAGACTCCCTCCCAGAGCCCAACCTCTCACCCCTTCTGCACCCAAACTCCCTCCCAGAGCCTGAACCCCAATCTCCTACCCCAGACTGCCTTCCCCCACCCAAAGTCCGTCCAAGAGCCTTAGGCAGGTAGGGCAGGGCGGAGTTTTTTTGGGGGTGGAGTTTTTGGGGGGCGGGGTCTGGGTGGCATGAGTGACACTGGCCCTCTGGGAGGATTTGAGGACTGGCACTGGCCTTGAGGTAAATTGAGTTTGAGACCCCTGCTCTACAGCTTTAACACTTGGTGGGTTTCAATGTGCAATCCCCACCTTCCTGCAACACCATGCTGCTCCAGGGCCCTAGATACCCTTTTTCTGTACCTCACTCCTCCCAACTACCACAGAATCTTCCCATTGGCGACCCATCACTCATATGAGTAAGAGGTAAAGAGCAGCAACAAAATCACCTGTAGCAAATTCAGCACACTGTCCTCCGTTGAGCATCACTGTTCATCACAATCTAACAAAGTTATTTTATTAAGTACTCTTTTCGAGATCAGGATGAGATCTACATGAGGGGCACATGATCCCAAATCTGCAAACTGTGGGATTCTTACACCTTCCCCTGGGGCATATGTGCCGCACTAGTATAAGATGGGGCTTGCATACCTACATCAGGTATGTTTAAGTATACAGCTAGACAAACCTTTTACTAGAATGAATTAAGTATTAACTATGCAACAGAGGGTCCTGTGGCACCTTTAAGACTAACAAAAGTATTGGGAGCATAAGCTTTCGTGGGTAAGAACCTCACTTCTTCAAATGCAAGTAATGGAAATCTCCAGAGGCAGGTATAAATCAGTTGCAAATGAACTGGAGCTCAGCAGTTTCTCTTTGGAGTCTGGTCCT